CAATCTAAGCCTGGTAGGTCGCTTACCTTGCCAGCAGGTATTAGGTCAGAGGTAAATTGTGATACTAGAGATACTTCAAATTATCGCATAAGGTAGTTCCTAGATATAGATAGTTGACCATAGCCTTAGTTTCGACTAGAGTTCGAGGCACAGAGGCATGGGCATACCTTTTGGGCATGCCTTGGGGGCATGCCTATGGGCATGCCACTTGGCCATTAGGCATGCCCTAGTTATGTATCATATCTGATTGGCCAGCATGTCATAGTTAAGATTATTTTAATTAGTATAAACATGACAACAAAATTTTAATTCTGTAAAAAATTTTTTACAGTAATTACTGTATAATAGAAGTCATAAAAATTCTAATACAAACTTAATCACATATTGTAGTCACCAAAATGCAAGTTATGATAGTGTCCTATAACAGAATTTTTCAGTAATAACAATAAAAATCAATATGCAATAGTTACTGGAATATGTAGCAAGAATTTTTTACAGTAACTCATGATAGAAAATCATAATAATTTTAATGCAGACTGACTAGATAAACTTTAATCAACTACATACTATATATCACTGGAAAAATTTTTTATACTAATTCACTATAATTCTAGTAACAGAAGTTTTTTATATTAAATATTCATAAAGCACTAGTTTTTTATATAAAAAGGGCATGCCTATAGGCATGAGGGGCATGCCGCAACTCAGGGCATGCCCCCAAAGGCATGCCTGATTTTTTACCCGTGCCTCGAACCCTAGTTGCTAGTGATGATAATCGACAATTATATTTGATCAACAAGAAGATTGTATAACGAAATCAAAATAAACAAGAAGGTTTATTAGCGTTAGGGTCAAGGTTATAGCCTATAGTAAACTTTTTTTTTTTTTTTAGAATCAAAAGGTCAGATATCGCGTGTTTTCTTCATTTCACGTTACGCGTCACTTCTTGGAATAGAAAAATAGTTTTTATACCCAAGTTGTAAAAAAATGATTTTATTAAATTCTGAAAAATAATTTTATAATTAGTATATTCGAATAAATGCTTTTCACAAAGCTAAACACCCTTTTTTTGCATGTAATGCTGGGCAAAAAATTTAATAAAACGGGTTTAAGTAATTGTTGATAAATTATGATTTAAATCTCATGTAAGTAAAAAATTGAATTCTCTTATCACTCAATTTTATTTGCGACTATTCATAGTATCGTCTACTCATATCAGGTATTCGCGGCTGATGCTGAAATTTAGGGTCCTCATATAAATCTATAATACCTACTAAATTTCACGTACTCTTTTACTAACAACATTAACCTAAACCCTAACCTAACCCTAAAAAACCCCTAACAAAAGGCCCAAAAAATTTAAAAAATTTCATAATAAAATAGGGCAAAATTTCATCATCAGCCGTGACATTAATTATTATGAATATTCATAAATATCTTAAAATATTCATACTTATTATAAATATATTCAAAAATATTATGAATATTCGAATATATAATATGTTAGGATTTATGAATATAAACACGAATATAAACCTTATCAAAATCCACTTTTACACTATTCTCAAAACTACCCCTATCAAATAAAAATCCACTTATACACTATTCCAAAACTACCCCAAATCCTAACCTATCAAATAAAAATCCACACAAAAATTTTATAATTTCATATTAATTCAGCCGCGGCAATAGATTTTATACTTTATTATGTGATGATATGATGATTTGTCAAGTTTTTTATTTATCACGAGATACAATGATTGCATTTCTGAATTTAGGCAATACGTACATAGTACGTAATGAGTATATAATAAAAAACGTTGAATTCACATGTTTATTAAATGAACTGGCAAATATTAGGTAATTATGGGCCCAATGGAATTTAGCGTTAGTACATACGTACGACGTATCATTTTGGCTCATTATCATGGAATGAATATTTCATAATTACAGAATTACCTAATATTTGTCAGCTCCCCAATTAATAATGTTATCATTATCATTTTAAAAGACAAGTACCGTGTAACATCACTTTTGCTATTAAATAATAAAATTGCGCTAATAACGATAACGAATAATTATATTCGTCAATTTGAAAAATTATGAAGATATTTGTACAGCCATCGCTTCTTTCAACTTCATTTGTTCCTCGACAAAATCCCTTAACTATTATAGTTTGGATTCTCGAGGATGATAATTATGCACGTCCCAATAAATTATGTGTTCAGTTATGGACGAATCTGATAGCACAAACTTGGTCTAGTATAGATATTGATGAAGAACTGCAAAATAAAATAATTGGTTGTGGTCTTTCTGAATCTTATCGTGTTTTTAAAATAGTAATATCTACTACTGATATTGAGGAAGGATGGTATGAATTTACTGTCAGGATCAAAAGAGAAGGCTGGAATGATTGGAGGTGGATGAGTACGGATGAAGGTCAAAACGCTAAAGTATTCATAAGTAAAACAGCTGATGATCTAAATCAAAGAAAAGATTTAAATCATTCCGTTTTTTATGAAAAAATCGATGAAAAAAAAATTAGATATAGCTTACAAGGAAATGTTGACTGTTGGTGTATATCGAGCAGTGTTAAATCCAATTCTGGTCTGCCAATCCGTATAAATTTTGGAGGAATTCGGAATTTGGTTCAGTATGTCATGTTACAAAGACTTTCGTAAGTAATTTTTATGTGATTTATTGAATTATTAAAAAAATATTCATATAGTCAAACATCTAAATGCATTTAGAGAACAACAAAAAAATGTGTATTTATGAGGGTCAATTAATAGCACATTAGAGAATTAATGCATTTTAAAAATCTCTATGTATTTATGTCAGGGAGAAATTTTTATGTGATTTAATGATTCATTTTAATATAAATCTTTTTTAACACTGTTAGAGCTTGGTGGATGATACCAGTCACGGGCATTTCCAAGCTGGACATAAAACACAAAGATGTTCTTTATATATTAATTCAGCAATCATCTGGTCATTATATCTCGTTAGTGCCTATGGCAAGTGATGGTTGCATATGTAGCTTTCGATCAGATGAAAATGGTGGATTAATACTATTCGTCATAAACGATAACGAACGTGATAGTCACGCAAGATTTGTTGTAGGCCGTGGAAACGATCCATACATCACTACTAAAGCATGTATGAAATATATCAATGAAATTAATGGAAATTATGATGTTGAAGAAAATAATGATATTGAAACGGAAGAACATTTCGATTATGATCAGATTGGATATTGTACTTATAACGCGTGAGTTTTTATATTATTACATTCTTTAAATAGTTTTTCTGTATAAATCGTCACTTCTTTCCCTATAAATTAGGTTTTATGGTAAAATTGGTCAACAACATATATTTGATGCTCTAAATTCTTTCGAGGCTATTGGTGTGCATATTGGATATTTCCTATTAGATGATGGATGGCAACAAGTTAATGGAAATAGACAATTGCAAAAGTTTGAACCTATACCTGAGCTTTACCCGGATGGATTTAAGGGCATGATAAATAATATTAAAGTCAAGTTTCCATATTTAAAATATTTTGGCGTATGGTAATAACATGTTTATGTTATTTTTTCGATAGTCATTTCCATTAACCCGACATCACATAGGGTTATGGGTAACATTTTATTAGTTGCAGGTATATATTGTGGCAGATTAAAATGAAATCGGATTAAAATGAAATTTTTCTATTTTTTTGGGGGACATTTTTTAGGGTTAGTGTTTAGAGTTAGTTTTATTAATAAAAGAGTATAAGTGGGTTTTATAAGCTTTAAAGATGAGCAAGAAAGATCACCAGTTTCATTTTAATCCTATTTCATTATGATCTGCGACATATATTGTTAGTAAATTGTCACCTGGGTAAATGGGAATGACCCTCGGGGAAATGAGACGTAGCCGTTTATGGTGAACTTTATCGGTTTATTTTAATCTTTAAAATATTCTTAATCATCAACTCTTTAGGCACACACTTTGGGGTTATTGGAATGGCGTAGATCCTAAATCCGAGTTGTCAGATACTTACAGAATTGAAAGAGTAAAACATTCGAATGAAATAATCCATATTATCATACCGCAGGACATTCAAAAGTTTTACAATGATTTTTATAGTTATTTAAAAAGTCAAGGTATCAGTATGGTAAAAGTTGACTCGCAAGGAAGCTTTGATATGATTGATTACGGTCAAAGTAAACATCGGCGATGGTGGAGAAAATATCATGATGCTTTAAAGACAAATAGTAAAGAGTATTTTGGTAATCGGGCAATTTATTGTATGGCGCATAGCCCTAACGTAATTCAACAAGTCTTATCCGGTTCAGATGATATGCCTAGTAGGCCATTGTTCAGGTATTTTTCATATGACATTTGATTTCATTTATATGTTAGGTGACATATATTTATTTTTATATAATAATATAAATACGTATTGATTGTTATAGAAATAGTGACGATTATTTCCCCAACGTACACGATTCACATGCATGGCATATCTATGTAAACACAATGAATAGCATATGGACCAGTACAATGTATAGCATACTAGATTGGTAAGATAATATTGTATATTCAGTGTTGGTACTGCCGTCTACTTCAATTAATTTTAAAAAACAGTTTAACAATTACTTTGAAAAACTTGAGTAGATGGTTGTTGAAATATTATCAAGTTTAAAATTTTCTTTAAAAAACGAAATTTTTAAAACGATATTTCAATAACCATCTAATCTATTTAAATGGTCATTTTGTTTTAAAATTTAAATTTACACAACTTGTAAATTTTAATAAATCAAATTTGGTTCAAAAAAATTCGACATACCGTATTTTCGCGGATTATCCTCAATACACACGGATGTAATTTCAAATTTTGGTCTAAATTGAGCTTAATTTGAGATAGCAGGTCCAACACTATTGTATATCTTTCTTTTCATACCTTGAATATAATGCCAATATTATTCTTGCAATTATTAGGGACATGTTTCAATCACATCATAGATTCGGCGAATATCATGCTGCAGCAAGATCAATCAGCGGAGGCCCAGTGTACATAACAGATATACCAAATGAACATAAATTAGAAGTTTTGGAAAAGTGCATAGTTAACACACCAACTTTTAAGACAACGTCAACATCGTCGTTAGATTCATCTAATAAAGATTCCTCATCAACAAAATTAAGCACAAAATTGCCACAAAGAATCCTAAGAAGCGAAGGCCCAGCATTATCATCACTTTCATCTTTATTTCGTGATCCCACGAAAATTAATAACTTGTTAAAAATATGTAATTGGAACAATAAAATCGGAGTACTCGGCTTATGGAATTGCAGAACCCATAAGTTATTAGATATATTTGATCTAACCGAAGTTTATGGGATAAATAATAGAACAAACAATTGCAATAATCAAGAACATAAAGATCTTATAGGAGAATATGCTTTGTACTTTTTTAAGAATAAACAGACTCATGTGGTGAATTCAGCGAAAGAACCAGTTTCAATAATTGTGAATGCAGAAGAATTTGAAATTGTAACAATTTCACCAATTCATTATTCAATCGGAAAGAGCTATGACAGAAATTTTACTGTTATGATCGCACCATTTGGCTTAATCGACAAATACAACGGATCTAAAGCCGTGATTTCATCCGAATTTATTAGTGAGAGTGTTAGACAAACAAATTCATATAATGATACTAGAGTAGATCCAGCAGAAAATCGACTGGGTAGAATATTCTATAAAGTCCAATTGGTTGGATATGGAGAATTTGGATTTTATTTGGATCCAGTTGATGGAAAATTAAGTGATACTAAGGCGTATTTAGGGAGCAAATTGTTGAAAAATGTCAAATATGATGTAGATAAGAAATTACTCTCGATTTGTTTAGAGAAAGAAGATATGGAAAGTGATGGGCAAAGGAATGAGACAAAATTATTAAACCAAGAGACACTAAGGGTAGAATTATTTTTGGAAATTACAATTGAGTAGAAACAAATTTCTCACATGTTGTGTTAAAGATTATTTGTATCATATACAATACAAGGTAATATAGGTAAGAACGTTGTTACACACCCTCTTTTATATATAAAGGTCCCAAATTTAAAGGGCTGTGATTGGTTCATTTCATGTGATTACATGATCTATAGTTGATTTTTATTAGCGTGGCAATATAGCAAATAACATAAAATAGGCAACTTTTGAACTTTTTTAACATTGCAATAATATATTTCTACTTAGAAAACTATCATTTATAAGAGAATTTCTCATTAATAGTTCATTGTTATAACATTTTGTAAAGCAGCTGAAATCGAGTACCTTATGCTGTTCCATAGTATATTATAAAAAAATAAACGTAACCAAGCTTTCTTAAATTTTATATTATTGGAATTTCTTTTTTTTTTTAAAAAAAAAAATTGTAAATTAAACTAGAGATTGGATCCGGTCATCCGTTTTCATACTAAATTTAACGGATATCCGACGGATTTTACTGTATCCAACGGATAATCGGATCCAAGCTCTAAATTAAATTTAAAAAATTTGAAAATTACAATTATAAAGAAAAAGATAGTTTTACGTAAGACAGTGTTAAATAGTCTTGGAAAAAATCAATCCCAATCTAATAACTCTTATAACTGTCTATTTCAACAACATTAGATCTTTTTATTCTTTTTGGCCAATTTAAATGTAAGTGGGAACTATCTTTACAATGTTTCCAAGCGTCTGCAAATTTTAATCTTTCCATCACTGAGTCATCTATATTTCCGCTAGTTAACCCCCTAATACCTAAAACTTCCAATTTTTCATGTTTTTCATCTAAAATCTCAAAAAATTTTGTACAAACTCTTCTACCATCACCTATGTTAAGTGTAACCCAAGATGGACATTCGGCCGGTCGATTCACAAACGATAACCAACCATTCTGGGTAACATTTGGTAATCTATCACGTATGGTGAATTTAATTAGTTTAGTCATTGATGCGAATGCAGCTAAAGCCTCATCTGAAAAATTTGCAGGCTTTAAAAGTTCTAATTTTGTGATAGAAGATTGACTAATTTTTCTAACAGAATCGTAATCGAATAAAGAAAAATCCCAAATTTGTAAATGTTGAAGGTTTGGAAACATTTCAAGAAATGAAAGGTCACAAGGACCATCAACTTTCAATAAACAAAGACTTTGAAGGTTATTCATTTTAAAAGTTGCTTTTAAAGATTGTCCTTGAACAACATCAGAGAAAGAAATTGAATTTAAAGATTTAGAAGTATGAATGATATCTAACGCATCGCCAGGAATGGGTGCATCAATTGTTTCTAATTTTAAACAATTGTCAAACATAACAGATATTGCTGATCGAGAAATTGGAGGATATTGAAGAGCTTCTAAATCAAATTTTCTCAAATTTTTGCAATATGTGCCAAATAAGATAACAATTTCTGATGGATCTTCAATTGTCATGCTAGCATAATTGAGAATTATTCTGATAGACAGGAGAGAATTACCAGCACATTTAGTGAATCTAAATTATTTCAATGTTAATAAATTAATAATAATAGATTAATGAAATGCTCAAAGTGATTAAAGGAGAAATGCAAACAGACCTCTCCCAAATATTTAAAGTCATTCTCGGATTATATAACCTAATACTACTAATGTTACCAGGACGCACAGCTTCGCACAGCGCATCATCATCATCATTACTATTAACATTACTTTGTTTTGATTTGGGACTATTGATGAAAAAGTTTGCAATACTTCGAGCAATATTCTGAGTTGATAATTCATTTTCAACATTTTCAACATCTTCGGAAGCATCGTCATAATTAACTATATGTTCGTAATTGGTTAAATTGATGCGAATTAATCTATCACTTAAAAGATTCAAAGGCAACTTCCAAGATTTAGAACGAGCCCTTTGAGAAAATAAAAGTTGAAAGTCTTTAAGATTTGGACAAGCACTAGCTAAGAAGGTAATCAAATTAGCATCAATAGGTATTGAAGGCTGTTTTTCCGCTTCATCTAATTTAATTTTCGTTACATATTCTCCATACGGAAATAATAAATTTTGCTGGTTAGATTTTGAAAGAGTTGATATAAATTGTTGAAAAGAATCATTTTCTGTAAAATTTCGAGACCTCCATAAATAAGAAAGTGCATATTTAGCCCATTGACGACAGGATAAAGCTAATTTTAAGAGATCTGATGAGGTAAACGAAGAGTTTTCCAAGATTGACACATGAATCTCATGAGGAAAATGCATTATTAAATGTCTTTTAAAATATATTCACAAATTTGAAAAGTTTTGTATTTATAGCCAATTTTTTGCGCAACCCGTTTATTAATTCAGTATAACGTTTATGCATGTACTATAAATGATGCACAATATGATATGCTATGCCGCAACCTAACAGCCAAGCGCAGTAAAACGTAAATATGTAACGTAATGACTTCAATGTATATATTTTGTCCTACCATTCGTTTATACGTACGTACCAGCTTTTCTATTTTTTGTTTTCTATTAAGTTTTCCTTTCTGGAAGTTCCAAGTATAACGATAAAACGACAGGGGATCTTCGTATCACGGTTTGACTATTGTAATAATGTTTTATGTAATAGATTTTCGTAAAATATTGCACCCTACAGCACAATTTTTAATTGTACCGAAGGATCATCCTGCGCCTTAACGAGGTCCGTTATAACAAAAGTAGAATATATCTTCTGTATCACCAGGCAATAAAATGTGCCATCGTATTATACTCATAGTACTTAGATATTATTTTAAATTCTTGCTGTATATTTATGAAAAAAAATTTTTGTTAGAAAGAGCGCAGAAGGTGGTATCGTATCATAGGAAAAAAAACTTTGCATTTTTCAAAAAACGTGATTTTTACGTTACACTTGAAAAGATCCCAAATTTACGTGTCTGTTTTGATTGATTTTTATCATTGTATAAATCATACGTCGCATAGTTACTGGTGAATTGATTTTATTAATACAAAATTTAATTGCATTTTTTTCACTATATTCAAATCTCGCAAGAGATTTTATAATTAAATACCTTTTATACCAACCATTGCTATAGCATGGGCAGGGGTTGGTGTAATGTGTTCCAATCTCGCAAGAGATTTTCTTTTATAATTAATACCTTTTATCATCTCTTTCTTGACGCTCTAAAATGGTATTACCCATGAAACACTCCTTGAAATTTTTCATTACCAAGATTACAAGACTTTATTTACATGTCTTCGTGTAATCGTGAGTGGTGCAAACTCGCCGTATAAAATTAATCAACCTCCTTACGAAGATGATGATAAAGTTCGTAGCTACTACTGTAGAGTTAATAGAGTTATTTTTCATGCGTTTTCATACTTTTTATTATGAAATTTCGTTTTCGCACTAGCTTATTTTATTTTATTTATTTTTTTTTTTACTAGAGCATAAAGTTGACTTAGTAAAATTTTGCGTAAATGGTCATTTTTTGTTGGGTGAATTTTAAATTAATGGATAAAGGATGTGGAAGCCCTGTCAAAAAAATGTTCAGCTTTGAGTGTCTTTGGTACCATAATCACTGATAAGTATCGTAATAATTACGCAAAGAAGGCCATTCTCATCACAGAACCCATTGAAACGTTCAGGAAGTTGAGTATATTTGTAGAGGAAAAAATTGATGAAAGGGAGGAGGAGGCACTGGCGGAATGTATGCATACACTGTATTATATGTAAATTTTTTAATTTAAATAATTAAATCAATTTTTTATTTAGATACGGCCACGTTCACTTCAGTAGCCGTCCAGTTACTATACAACCATTAGTTATCCCAACAAATCGATTAGTTGGATCTTACCGGTCTCACTTTTTCCACTTTCCACTTTTGTTGTAAGCAAGTAGAGATCCTCGTAGGGTCAACTGGTTTCGGAGGGGGAACTAGTTACGTATCTTCCTTACGAGTCAATAATTTAGTTGATTTCTTACCGGTAGTCTTGAAGTCGAATCCCATTTAGGGTTTGCGGGTAACTTCACTTTTAGTTGTGTCTAAAAATTTTGAACAATTTTTTCCATATACATAGATTTTCTGAAGAAATAAAACTAATGTTATGAATTCCAATAATATACAGTAATCCATTTTATTTCAATAGAGATCGAGAAATATGTTACAAAAACGGCAACGCAATTTTTCGACTAGGGGACAAATATGATACAAAAACATGATTTATTAGTAGGAGAACCTTGAACACTTGGGCGACAGAGTCAATACTATGTCTTAAAAGTCGTCAGAAGGATATATGGTTTTCGTTATAAACTATCAGTAATCGCCACAAATAAAATTTTGGCGGAATTCGGTAATGTGTTTTCCACAACTATTAAAGATTTATCTGTAATTTGCACCTATCGCTATAATATATGACATAAATTAATTAATTAATTTTTTTTTACTAATTGTAGCTATCGCTATGATGATACACCGTTGATCTTTGACCAAATTTCTATACAAATAAAAAATTCGCAAATTTATTAAAATGATTTCACGCTTAAGATTGCTAAGGCCTCTGGTAAGTAAATGAGACACCATAAGAATGCCTGCGATGTAATGCTTTTGTTAATAAGCACTTCATTATTTTATTTCAATTTTAGTCAAAGTACACTCGCAATGTTGGGAATTGATGGAAAACTTAATGTTTATTTGATTACTACACTAGGGAACGATTTTCGTTGGCTTAGTTTCAACTATATATTGTCCGTCTGAAACGAGGATATTTAGATAGTATAAGTAGCATAGGTTATAAGTTTCTCACAAATGTAAATAATTTTATTTTTTATAAATAAATGCTTTTGGCACCATGCAAAAGTGGATATAAATAGTATCACTAAGTAATTTTGCAAAGGTTCTATAAAGTTTCGCTAATAACATATTGCTAAATCCCAACCAAAACCCTATCCGGTAGTCTTAAAGTAGTGGAATTATTGTGAATTGTATTACACCAACAGTCCCGCAGTTGTGAACTATTGAGGTTAGATTGATTGACTGTGTAGAGTTCCTATCCCGGAACCTTGTTGCGCCACTCGCCCAAATCTAGCACGTCTCTTTCGTCCGGGAGTCCTATACGTTGGTTGCACGAAGCGACTGACTGCTAGATTGGTGCTTTCAATAGTATTCTACCTAGGGTTGGAAATTATACGGTATAATAAAATTTGGTGTAAATAATTACTGTATAATAACCTTATATATAATATATAGCAAGTACATAAAGATTTGTCACGTGTGTTCATGAAAATTAATCTAGATTTCTATTGGCTAACTTTGCTACACAAAAATATTATACGGTATTTTTTTAATTATTATTATACGATATATACCAATTATACAGTTATTATATCATTTTTATTATACGGTATCGTATAATTGCCAATCCCTAATTCTACCCTTAAACTTGATGACGTTTCTAAAATTTCTGTTAAAATATCGTTATATCGATATTAACCATTGTAGAAACAATTACGGCAAGTCACTTAATGTTTTCTAATATGGAAAGGTTTGTTTAATTTTTTCATTGTTTTTCGGTCGGATTAGCAAAAAATGACTATTTATTCATGAATATCTGAATATTATGAACGATAAGCAAAAACGTACTAAACTAAAAGCTATAGTTGCCGTTCAAACTGTTTTAAGGCCCAATTCATGTGATAATTGATTTTAACAACTTATCATTATGAGGTAAAATTTAGTTAAAACTATGTGATGCTAATCATCACATTGTTTGGGCCATCCAAATAGTTTGGGCGGCAGCCATAGGAGAAGCATTCTTATAGAACTTATAGTTAGTAGAAAAGGAAATATGTAAATAAATAAAATATTTAAACAGTTTAATTTTTAGAATTTTTCTTTTTATTTTTCCTGCTCAAGTCAATAACACTTATACTTATAGTTCCGAGACTTTTTTGTTAATACGTACACAATTATATCATTATTGGATAGGCTGACTTGAATTAAATAATTATTATTAATCAATTTCTTCTGATTTACATCTAGTACTTTGTTACTTTGTTCGAGTAGTGCATCTCCAAACATAAATAAATAAATAAAAAATGAAACAATCACACTGGCCAGAATATCATCACCCACCAAATGAAAGTGTTTTAGGAAGTGCTCAATTTGATCGATTTTTTACGTCTGCAACTAGATCCAATTCTACACAACCTTATCGAAATGAAGAATCTTCACCTCAGGAATCGGAATCATCTCGAGATGTTACAGAAGTGCATCGAATTTTAGCACCTCAGCCATTTGTACCTATTGCTTCGGGTCAAGTAAGGCCTAAATTAATAGATCAAAGGCGTAGGTCTTCGTATCTTTCGGATACGTATGACAAATTTACGTTCAAAAAGCTGCGCAGAGGAAAATAACTGTATTACCTAAAGTTATCTTGGCTACTGGTGATCATGATCAAACCATAAGATTATGGAAGGTTCCTGAAGGTGTTTCTTGGCGAACTATGGATCACTTTGATTCGGTATACAATGCTACTTTTTAATCATTATCTAATTCATGTTAAATATAATTCTTTACTTTTTTTTACTTTTTGTTTAGCAAGTGAACAGAGTAACTTTATCACCTGACATAAAGTTTCTCGCTGCAGCAGGTGATTTTTACAATTATCAATTATAGTGAATATACTATATATAGATTTTACTGTAAATATACGAAAATATTTTTATCAATTTTAGGTAACCCAAATGTTCAGCTATATGATATGACCACTCATAATCCGAGTCCGGTAAATCAAATAATAAGTGCACTTTAATGTAAGAGATTAAATATAAAGCTATTATTAAATAATTTCATATAAAAAATTTTAACTATAGATTATCACATTAAGAGGACATAAAAATAACGTAACAGCTGTCGGATTCATTGATGATAACATTGTTTACACAGGAAGTGAAGATGGAACTTTAAAACTTTGGGATGTCAGGTATTTTATGTAAGATATTATAAAAGAAGTACGACTTATTAATAAGCCCTTTGATAATATCACTTCAAAGGGAGAAATCGGTAAAAAAGTCATTCAACAATTTTGTTCCAGATGATATATGTGCGTGGTATAATGCAAGAAAATCCATGGTAAATGACGTAGCAAAATACCCTTCAGAATACAAATTGGTATCTATAGATGAAGAAGGTTACATAAAATTTTGGGATATGAGATGTGAATCTAGTACGAGTTTATGTCATCAGGTAAAAATTTATTTTACAATAATGTCATATATAGGTCTATAAAGGGATTAACAAAAACATTAATTGGTAGAAAAGATGGTTGGAAATAATTTTCCTGCATCCCCTTTACATTCCTTAAGTATGGCCCAAAACGAATCTATAATGGTTGAAGCAAGCAGCGAAGTAAATAAAATAAATGTAATATTTTTTATTTTCAAATATAAGTTATATAATTTTATATTACAGGGATATTGCTACTGTACGCTTGGGATTTAACCTCTGTAAATGCTACAAATACTTTGCCGAATCCTATTAAACATCAAGCGCATGGTTCTAAGAGGGGAAATAAATCATTTATTACTAGATGTTCATTGAATCCGGATGCTAGGTATTTTATAATGTTATCAAGTTAAATAATAATTCATATGTTGATTTTATTTTCACGTGTAGTTATCTAGCAACATGTGGTGCGGACCAAATGGCAAAAATTTGGAGAATTTCATACAAAGATCGTGACAAATTAAGAGACATTAACGAGGAAAAAAATATGATTCAAAGATTTGAAGAAAATCAGAAATTTAAACATCCAGCTCCTTTCTGGGTAAAGGATTGTGTTTGGTCGAATGATTCTCGAATCTTTATAACTGGTAAGTTGAGAACATGCATTTTTTATTAAAAAAAATTCTCAATTTTTTGTATGCTAATTCTATTTTACTAAAATTAGTTTCTTCAGATACAATAATGAGAGTTTGGAGGGCTGCCACTGGTGAACTAGTGCAACAATTCAAATGTCATAAATATGGAATTATTTGTGTTTTTCTTCATGAATTTGATGATTAAATGAAAGCAAGGATGTTTTTTGTCAACATCCTAGTATATAATTGAAAATTAATGAAGCCATAAGAACAGGTTATGTTTGAAAACTAATGAAATTTGTTACAAGTAGTGTTCCGAGTAAAATTTTGCCAATAGATTAGTTTGTAACTAATTTTTATATCACGTGTCATCATCAGATGATTAGCCAATAAAATCAAAGAAGTCATACGGATTAGCCTGACTAGACGAAATATCTCAAATTGAACCAGTTGGTTTAAATTTTTTTTTAAAACTGATTGGTTGGAAAGTTGCCAACTAAGTGGTTGATTTTTCAACTAACGATTTGGATAACTAAAGAGCTCAAAAATATATAAGCTTTTAATTAAATTAGTTATAATAAAAGTATATATGTTGCTAGACCGGTCCAGTGAAGATCACTGGAACTTGATGTATCTGGAAGAAATTTAAGTTCCAATAGTAAGTTATCACTAGTCTCTTCTAGTCGTATTTTTTTTACTACTGGATGGAAGATCCAGTGAGGTCCGATGAAGTCCAGTGAAATTTAATGTCAAAAAAGCATAAAGATAAAAAAATTTTGATATTTTAAGCGCATATACATAATCTATTTAAACTGTAATAGTGCAATCCTTTAACCAAAAAAATCAGACCGAAAATATTATATGCAAACTTCAATATTACAAAAATGTGTGACCTCTGCAGATCATGATGTCATGTAAAATCACGAGAAATCAGCCGATTCTAGTGGATTTTTCGA